AAGGCCTCCTTGCCCAATTTCCTCTAGAAATAGGACTTACAGGCTCATAGTATCTCTATATGTCAGTGTCAGTCCATCTTAATGTATTAATCCCCTTGTCAAGTACAAAGAAATATGGCAGAGAAGCAGTGTCGTGGTTTAACCCGGCTGGCAACTCAGCACCACGCAGCCGCTCGCTCACTCCCCCCCCTCCCTCAGTGGGATGGGGGAGAGAATCGGAAAGAAAATAAAAGGTTAGAGCCGAGGGCTGAGATAAAGACAGTTTAATAAGAGAAAATAATAATAGTAATAATGAGAATGATAACAGAATATACAGAATATACAAAACGAATGAGGCACAACGCAATTGCTCACCACCCGCCGACCGATGCCCAGCCCGTCCTGAGCTGCGAGCAGTCCCCGAGCTGCGAGCAGTCTCCCCGCGACCGATCGACCACCCGAACTAACTGACCCCCCCCGAGCATGACGTTATATGGTATGGAATAGCTCTTTGGACAGTTTGGGTTAGCTGTGCTAGCTGTGCTGTACTCCCAGCTTGTTATGCACCTGGGCAAGCAGGAGAAGCTCAAAAAGTCCTTGAGTAGTCTGAGCACTACTTGGCAACAGCTGAAAACATCAGTGTGTTATCAACATTCTTCTGGTACTAAATCCAAAACACAGCACTATGCTAGCTACTATGAAGAAAATTAGCTCTATCCCAGCCGAAACCAGGACAAGCAGCAACGCTGCATGACTTGAGGAAACCAGTGGCTGAGTAAAGCGGAGAGGACCTATGAAAGACTGGAAGCAGTAAAGCAAACTTTTGTCTTTTTAGACCTTAGGAAGCCATGAGGCTTCATAAAAGCCTCAGTGGCAGGGGAAGCAAGAGGTCCAGCCATCTCAAGAAATGAAACTGTAGAAAACCTAGATGGTTTTTGTTTTCTGCTTGGCAAATCACCGTTTTCTTGGCCTGGCTGTGGTGGGCAGGTGCAAACACAGGGACAATACCCAGGGCAATCTCCTTACCCAGGTGATGTGTTCAGAAATGCCCACACTGACAAAAACCCCACCTCCTGGATCTTGGTCCCAGACAGTCTACATTTACATATGTTTGATTTGTTCCCATGTTCCCTCTGGAAGTGAAGCAGGTAACACAGATGTGGTGATGCAGATAGTCTGTTTCAGGGATTGGCTTCCATTGGGAACACTGCACCAGGCTTGGCTTCCTGCAACCACCGGGCAGGCTGAGTTCCCTCTGCTACCCTACGCGCCTTCCCAGGGCACACAACAACTGACTCTCAGCTTCAGCCCACGGAAAATGCAGCCCTCTGCCACTGCAGAAGCAACCTGGGAAAACCCCCACAGCAATGGTCTTGGAGCTCTACTGATTGGGGGCATGGAGGAATGTGGGCCCAGGTAGAGTGCAGAATGACTCTGGCCCATGCAGGAACAGGTAGCCCTTCCCCACAGGGGAGTGCGTACATCTGCCTGGCAGGCTGTTAATTGGTGACGAAGCTATCAAAGCAAGAAGTTCTAGCTACAGGGTATTGGAAGAGATTTATCCTGAAAATAGAAGCACTTGAAAACCTCTGAGAATTTACTGATGCCACAGTTTGATGATGCTGATTCATTACACTAGGTGACTACAGTCAGCTAAGTTACTGTTTCTTCCCCTCTCACAAACACTTTTGCTTTTAATAATTTGCCCCCCGATATTCTTCTTTCCTGTGCCTGCACAGTAACAAGCAGCGTTTCCTGACCTCTCTGCAGCCACTGACACATCCTATTAAGTGGTAGGTCCAGGGCCTCCCTCGGTTCAGCCTCAGATTTGACAAAATGCACACTTCAGTTAGCAAATGGGCAAACAGCCTGTACTCTTAATGCCTGCTAGCCTTTCTCATTTTCCTGTTTCTTAAGCTAAACAGTTGAATAGCACCTGAGTATTAAGATAAGCAGGTTTATGATGCTAGCTTGGTACAGCGTGGTATTTGCCAGCAGTGAAAAGCAACACATAAAGACCTCTCTCCTGGGAACAAGTGCTTGTGGTAAGAAGTGCCAGAGAAGCAGCTGGTTTCTAAACCAAGAAGTGCTTGTGTTACACATTGGTGTTTTTTAACATAAGAATGTGGTGTTTAGCTAGTAATAAATATTTAGGCTTAAAGTAAAGACAGTGTTACTGAACATTTGGCACCTGCAGGTGAATTTCAAAGTTCATTTTAAAATGAAGGCTTGGACTCAGAGAAAGGAGAGATGTGGGCAAGAAGGCTATAAAGATTAAAAAAAAAAGATTAAAAAAAAAATAAAGATTAAAAAAAAAAAAAAAAAAAAGCTTGGCTGGGTTTTCTTCCTTAGGAGGGTTATTTCAGTAAATTCATATGTCATGGAAGAATGTAGCTACATTTCCTACTTCAGCATTATAATTGTTTAACCCCATTGTTCAGATGGACCCAGTGAAAGAGGATTTCTGCACCCTGAGGAATTCTCCGTAGGATGAAGACCATGTGACGAAAGAAAGCCCTATAGCACTGGGCAGATCAGGCAGACAAGGAGGGCTGGAGGGGGCTGAAGTCGTCACTTGCATGCTGGGGACAAATGTACTACTGTCATGGAGAGGGGGTAGCTAAGCAGGAAAAGGGGCAGTCCTCTTTCTTGCATCTGTGGGGTGCCGTTGCTGGATTCCCTGGTGACGTGGCTGTTGCAAACATGGTTGTTGCATTTGTTCTGTTTGGGACGTTCATATCATACCCCTTTTCTCCCACTGCCCTGTGGATTCTCTGGCACCTGCTAAGGGGTCAGCTTACACCACAGAGGGTTTTCTTGGTGGGGGCATTAATAGTCTGTTTGCTGTTTCCAGGTTCTTATTAAACCTGGAAGAATCCAGTATCACCACGACCTCCGTTCACTGCCTCTCTCAAAAAAAACTAAGGCTGTCAGGAAGAGCAGGAGAGAGGCTGTCAAACATAGAGCACGGCTGCACAAGCTTTTTCCTTAGGAATAGGAAGCAGAGTAGGAAAGGGAATGGGATTAAAGGAGGAAACAGTAAGATAAGGGGGCAAAATTAGAGGGAGGTGTTTTGGGCAATTTTCATGTAAAGCTGTGCCCTGATTTGGCTCCTTCTCTCTGTGCCTGCCCTACAGGCTAGGTGGCTGGCATTACTCTAGCTGGTGGAGTCTGCTGATGTTTGGGGGCTTTCAGACCCCCAAATCACCACCAAATACCACCAAAATCAGTCAATCTACTTAAGTGGTTTTGGAATTTTTCCTTGAGGACTTACTCTTTTTCATTTGTGTTTTATCCAGTCCATTTAAACTGAATGAAAAGCTGGCACAGGGTCAGAGCACCCTGAGATCTGTTCTAATCATGGGGCGATCAGGCTCAGCGATCCCAGCCTATGGTTACAGCTCTCAGAGAACCTGCCTGGATGGGAGCACAAATGCTGGTTTAAAGTCAGGGCTTTCTTAAGTGGGCATGACTTTACATTTCTGTACAACCCTGTGCAGGGAAAGGATAGAGATATTGCTACTAAGCAGTATAAGCTTTGAGTACAGAGCTCTGGGGAAACTAACAATCAGCCTCTCCTTCAATTAGTTCTTGCTCTGCAGCTTTGCTTCCTCTTTGAAAGCAAGTAATTTCATACTGCAGCAAGGAGCAAGTCTGCAGTCTACAGAAACAAACCAGACTTTGACTTCCTACAGCTCACCACTTCAGGGGTTATCAGGGGTTATCTTCTTCAATGATCCCTGGCTGCCTCAATCTCAAATCCTGTAAACTCTGCAAGCATGGTCTACAATGTATCTAAACCTGAAGGTAGACTCTGTGTGTATGTGTGCATGCATGCATAGGTGTAAAGATAGATGATCAATTATTTAATGTGGATAAAGCTATTGAATTATTTTTTAATATGTTTTTGCTCTGTAATTGTTCTGTTTGTGCAGAAATTCCCATTTGGTCTTAGATTTGAGAAGCAAGGTTTACAACAACAGTGCTTCTGCATTGTCTTTTGCCTCAGCAACTACAAATTTCTGGAGACTTTGCAGTGCGCCAAAATGCAGGAGAGAGATTCACACTTCAGTAGACAGACTTTGATAACCTTCTCTGATGTTTTACCATGGCTTAAAACCAGCAGAGATCTGACATAGATTCAAATTGCCAATGGAGAAATGATAGGAGAGAAAAAATTACTATGTGTCCTTCTGGATTTCTAACTACATAGTCGTGCTTTCAGAGTGTCAGATCACCTTGGAAAGTCTTTTTTTTTTTTTTTTTTAATACAGCTTTGCTTA